TGGGCACCGCGGTGACGTCCGAGGGCACGTCGAGCTTCCACTTGGGCGTCAGCTGGTGCACATTCGACTGGCGGATGCAGGTCTCATCGACTGCGCGGTGGTTGTTGCTGATGCCGTTGCCCCAGTTGGGCCACCCTCCTCCGCCAGCGCTGTGGGCCGGCTGCGTTAGGTACAGAGCGAAGGCGACCATCAGCAGGAGGAACGTAGTACGAGTCATTGCTTGTTGTTTGGCTTCTTGGTGTTGCTTGTTGGGAGTAAAGTGAAGACCGAAAAAGCTGCGCCTTTTGTACCGTGCCGTGTTTGTCCGAATGTTCGAGTTTGTAACTCTCCCACCTTCGCTCGAAGAAACGAGAGTACGACTTCGGCCAAAAGAGAATAGAAATAAATTCAATTTACAAGACTCACGTTTGGGCGCAGCTTCAGACTTCGCTGTCATCAGTGCTGTCGTCATCGGAGAAGTTGTCATCGTAGCGCGCCGAGACGTAGCGGCGGGTGAAGGCCGACGCCGGCGAACGGGTACGCCCAGTACCGAGGCGCCGTAGTAGAACGCGCCGCCGACCTGCGACGCCAGGGTGTCGCCCTCCTCGTTGTCGATGCTGCGCGAGTTGTAGTCGTCATCGTCGCCACTCGCAAAGACCCGACTCGGTGACGCCCGGCTGGCGGTGGCGGTGGTGCTGGTTGTGAGTACCAGAGGCGAGCGAGGAGAGGTAGCCGGTGGCGCCGTGCTTCTGGTACTGGTCGAGTGGACGGCCACGATGCGGTGGGCCGCAGCTCGCGGGAAACGCTGGAGTAAGCAGCCCGCATCCCCGCCTCTGTTGTGGCGGGCGCGTGGGCGTACATGCTGCTGCCGGCAATCGACCCTCCTGGGTCACCACACAACCATCAGCGAGCGGCGGCACCTAATCACGGCAACTCAGGTGACAGGTAGTACCCGAACCGCCGAGGTGGTAGTCGGCAGCCTCCAGCACGTACTGGCGCCAGCCGTCAGGTTTGTGCCAACGAGAAGACCCTCGCTAAGACGA